GGGGGAGGAAGGAGGGTGGATTGTAAGATCCCACATCGGTTGGGGAAGCGAACGAAACATTCTTTATAAGGGTTTGGAGTCTCCCTAGTAGACACGTTTTAAAAACCTTGAGGGAAAGCCCAAAGAGGATAATATTTGCTAGCGATGGACTTGAGCGGTTATATTCTCACTTCACTTGAGGTTGGAAGGTTGTGGTTGTGAAATCTCGAAGGGTTATTTTCTTTTTACAAAGGCCACAACCCAAAATTTAATTCAGACATGCCTTAACAAAGATTTACCATATGCAGTGTAGGAACTGATTATCCAAGCCACATATGAAATAAAACAAGTTTTCAATGTTTAAGATGCATACAAGGAGGTATTGCATATCAATTTTGTGATCTGATTCAAATTATGATCCTAGTCATATTGATCATCTTGAATTCCAAGTATCTTTGGCTACATTACTTGATCTTTGTGCATCAAGATTTTGTTTGGAGTTCGATTGGTTGGCATGCCCTGGATCATTCAGTCTTCAAGCCCGCCCGAGTAGAGCTTATTTAGCTGTGTTGCGTACTCGTGGTTGATTCTTTTGAATTTTATGTAGTTTTCATGGTTCTTTTAGTTGTTGATCACAATATTTAGAAGTCGATGATATGCAGGCTTCGAGGCACTGGGAAATATGACAAGTTTTATGAAGAAGGAATATACAACTGTGCTGGCTGTGGAACCCCACTTTACAAGTCCAGCACCAAATTCAATTCTGGCTGTGGCTGGCCTGCGTTCTTTGAGGGCTTTCCTGGAGCAATCAATCGTTTTGTGAGTTACCTCTTTACATCACTGTCTTTCTCTTTCTGAAGTACACGGGTCAGTTTACATTATTGTTGTATACTGCAATTTGATTGACTGTAAATAATTTCAGCCCGACCCTGATGGAAGGCGAACTGAAATAACTTGTGCTGCATGTGGGGGGCATTTGGGTCACGTTTTTAAAGGCGAGGGATTCGGGACACCTACAGATGAACGCCATTGTGTCAACAGCATT